GAAATGCAGGAGATGCAGGGGACGCGGGTTCGATCCCTCGGTCAGGAAGATCCCCTGGAGGAGGGCATGGCAACCCACTCCAGTGTTCTTGCCTGGAGAATCCCACAGACAGAGAAGCGTGGCGGGCTACAGTACATTGTGTCACAAATAGACAGACACAAGTGAAGCGACTTAACATACATGCACACACAGGTGTGTCAGTTTAGAAATTGTATACTTTAATTAATTTATTTTAAAACACAAACATCTAGGCTGTCCAGCCTAGACCCTAAGGAGAGAGGGCAAGGTGACCCTTTGCAGGCAGCCCAAAGGGCATGGCCTGGATGCCAGCAGCTCATCAAAGTCTGCTGACTGGGGGGCTCCATACTGACCCCCTCCTCCTGAGCACTTCAGGAAAGGGTGCTTCACCAGCCATGGGGGAGCAGGAGCTGGACAGGCGGCGGGGCTGTGGAAAACTGAGGGGCCTTCAGAGGCCTGCAGGCGGTCTCCTGACTTCCTGCAGGAGTCAGGAAGGCCAAGACGCAGCCCCAGAAAAGGAGGTGAAGGCCAGGTGGAGTGAAAGAGCAGCCAGCCATCCTCTGGTTCCTGCAGGAGGGGGAGGGACACACAGGCTGGGGGAACACCTCCTTCCAACAGCAGCTGGTCATGCTAAGCTGCTGAACAGGAGGTGGAGCTGTCTGGCTCCAGGGCTTACAACCCACATTCTCCAACACTCAAAATCCAGATCCGGGTCCCTGGGGTTGGCACATGGGAACATCCTTCCTGCCCAGCCCCACTTACTTTATAAAGAGGTGAAACAGGCAAGTAGGTACATGAGAAGCAACACTCCGGCTGCCCAAATTTCTGAGTTCACCTGCTTATGGCTTATCTGGAGCCTAGTTGTGGCACGGAGCTCAGAACCCTGAATTCTCAGATCCTGCTAGATCGGTGTTAAGAATCTGGGAGTAAGGGCAGGGTGCAGAGAGCTACACGTGCCTAGAAAGTCAGGGTTTTGTTTTCTGTTTTTGCTATTTGATAACAGGAAGCTGTGGAGGCCGACTGGGGTGATACCTAAATTTTCCTAGATGAAAAAACTCTTCATCTCCCAAAATAAGCCATTCCCCAGACTTTTACTGCTGTAGGAAGAAGGCAGGAATTGAGAAGCACAGGGCAAGTCAAACTGCTGAAAGCACCTATTTGCAAACATGCTTTAAGGTCCAGACCGAACATGTGATGCAAAGGGCACACCCAATGTCCCTGTCTGTTCCAAGCAAGGCCTGTAAGCCCGAGAGGTCTGGTGAGCTGGGCATGCTTGGTCACTCAGTCATGTCCAACTCTTTGTGGCCCCATGAACTGCAGCCCTCCAGGCTCCTCTGTCCCTGGAATTTTCCAGGCAAGAATGTTGGAGCAAGTTGCCATTTCCTCCTCCAGGGGATCTTCTTGTCCCAGGGATTGAACCTGCATCTCTTGTGTCTCCTGCACTGGCAGGTGGATTCTTTACCACTGAGCCACCTAGGAAGGCTAAGCATCCCTAAAGAATGAATGACTCTAGTGTCTGACATACTAGGCTTAGGGAAATAGTCACTCGGTTGACTGCCAAGGTAGTAAGAACCAAAAAACTTATAGAACCCTTCACGGCTTCCACGCTCAAAAGCAGGCAGCCAGCCTCCCTCTCTGCGTCAGTCCTGTCCTCCCAGCAAGGGTGGATCTGGGCCTGGATACTGGTCCTCTTGCTTTACAGACAGCAAACGTACAAACGAACACACAGATGGCATGCTGCCACACCTGTCCTACACAGAGCAGCCCCACATGTGCCAACTGCACGTGTGAGCCGAGCCCTGACCACACTCCCTGCCACCAAGATCCATGACCATCAACACAGAAGTAAGTTTCCACTTGCTTGTTCCTGCCACACATAACAAGGCCTGGATAACAGTCACATTTGAAGGCTGTATTTGCGTGATCTGACGTAAAATGTGGCTGTCTGGGATGCAAAAATGTTACTGGCAACAGGATAGAGGCTATTCAAAGAAATAGGCAATGTCCTGGTCCTTCATGATAGCTGAAAGGGGGGCACAATCTGAGGCTGGAATGATGGCTGATCAGGAGTCAGGGCACCTCACATTCACACTGTGGACAGAGCAAGCCCAGCTTTCACTATGTGCCCCAAGGTGAATCCCCAGAGCTCATCAGAACAGAGCTCCTTCTCACATGGGACTCTACACAGTTGACTCTAAGCTTAGCAGTGGGAGGAATTTATTTCACGACAGTGATTTTCAAAAGTGGACACAAACAGACTACAGCTAACAACCTTAATACTGACATTTTCGCCATTGGCAGCAGCAGCCATTTTTAGTCCCATAGGCGTTTCCTACATATAAGCTCTTCTATCATCCTGTTACTGTTCTTCCCACTGTAGGAGTTTGGATAGAGGCTATTCAAAGAAATAGGCAATGTCCTGGTCCTTCATGATAGCTGAAAGGGGGGCACAATCTGAGGCTGGAATGATGGCTGATCAGGAGTCAGGGCACCTCACATTCACACTGTGGACAGAGCAAGCCCAGCTTTCAATATGTGCCCCAAGGTGAATCCCCAGAGCTCATCAGAACAGAGCTCCTTCTCACATGGGACTCTACACAGCCGACTCTAAGCTTAGCAGTGGGAGGAATTTATTTCACGACAGTGATTTTCAAAAGTGGACACAAACAGACTACAGCTAACAACCTTAATACTGACATTTTCGCCATTGGCAGCAGCAGCCATTTTTAGTCCCATAGGCGTTTCCTACATATAAGCTCTTCTATCATCCTGTTACTGTTCTTCCCACTGTAGGAGTTCAGAGACATTAATGAATTACCACAGTCAAAAAGTCAGTTGATGGGGAGCCAAAGCAAACCCAAGACTCACAACCAAGCCCAGGTGCCTCCTATTACAGCCTTAGGAAAGGCCCTCGGAACCCAGAATCCCAGGTGGTCTTTCCCAAGTATCAGCGAGGCCCCCCCTGATTGTCATCCAAGGTCAGACACTGGCTAAAGCAAGAGCTGGGGTCCACCTGAGCACCCAACCTTCATTGAGCCAACTGTGGATGCTGGCAGTGGCGGAGCCCAAGGAGCTGTCTCTGTTCCAAGACTGGCTGTGGAGGCCACAGAGACTACATCTGAAGGCAGATTAAACAGGAAAGGACAGAGCAGCTGACTCAGACTGGTTCAGGGTAAGCCTGGGGCCACTCTGTCCAGCAGCCTACAGAGGGGTTACCCCCACCCTCTCCCCATCATCACCCCTTGTCCCCAGGAGCCAACCCTCCTCCAAGAACAACTGTACTCCTGGGCATGAGACCACCAACTTGACTCTGGTGCCAAGTCGATGTAACACACTTTAAACTCTCTAGTGGGATTAAATCACGGTAGCCCAAAAGACAAAAAGCCCTGGGCAATGTTCCTCTGTACCTTTCTTCAAACTCACTGTGTCTCTGCCACTCATGCTGAGAGCCTGGCAGGACGTTTGCAGATCATGCTCCTAGGCAGGCCGTTTTGCAAAGCTAAGTTCAGTTCTGAAAAACAGGGCTCTTGTGCTCCTGGAAGAATATGCAAGTACCACAACAAAAAGTTCTATTGGCTGTTAAATTGCTTTGGGTTTACAAATTCACAAATGGCTCAGTCTGGTACCCAGTTAAGAAATCAGAGTACACAATCCACTTGATCATATCTTATCAGCAATATGGCACAGGCCTTTTGATGATGAACAGGCATGTGGATATTCTTAGCCAGGCAGCTAGCTAAGGGAAAATGACAGTGACTCTCCAACATCTGTAAGTACTTGCAGGTTTATTTCCTCTCACAGTTTATTTACTCATGATGTTTCCAAGAGGGGCTGACTGCTTTTCCATCACCCAAATCTGAGCATCAACACTGCAAACATCTTTAGAGATGCTTATTTTCACATTAAATATGTTTCAGCTCTGGGATTACATTTTAAATGTATATGCTCATCCATTCCATTACCACACCCTCGTTTTTCCTGGCAAAGCCTTTAGAGTTTAAAATCTAATGAAGACTTTTCATCCTCTCAGAATAAAGCCATGTGGGCAGCATATTTCTGCCTCTCACACATCTCTCACATTAAAGCGGGTTTATGACCACAAACATTTTGTATTAATCAACGTTTCCGCACACCCACGCCTGAAAATCAGATTAAAACCTTTCTCCACTAGAATTCCTTCTGCAGTCCACAACTTCCTCAGAAAATCTCTCCAAGCTAGGCCCCTCATCCTTGCAGCCTCAAAGCATGCGAATTTCATTGTATATTGCTTGCTGCTTTTGACTTGGACCAAAAGTTGAGTTTGAAAAGCCCAAGAGCCACAAATTTGGCACCAAACAGGTTTTAGTTAAACACATTTCCAGGAAAAAGCCAACTTTCTGAACAGCACAGAACACTCAGGCCTTTGTGAGTTTCCATGGGTCATCCCTGAGTTTTTTCTAGCTTCAGGGTTTCTTCCTCCAGTGAACATCCCTCTAGAAGTCCCAGCAGAGTGTCTAGGTCAGAGGCCCAGACATGCCCTTATATGTACCAAAGGTTTGCAACAGCTCATTTAAACGTATCCAGTGTTTTTCAACGGAAAAGAGGGGCCACCACACTCACTCCCAAAACAAAACTGCACATGGGGCTCACTCGGAAACATCTTAGGCTTTGGGAAATCTCGGAAGGCACCTCTTTATTCTTGTTATCTTGCTTGACAATTTCACTCTCTCCGCACAACTCATCAAATATTAACAATATTATTATGTATAAAATGACTACCTTCCCTAGCAGGCTTGGGGTGGGTATTATTATTCTTGGGGGTACCTGAGGCTCTAAAAGGTTAGGTCACCCACGGTCAGACAGCTAAATCGCAGAATAGATTAGAACCTAGGCTGGCCTGGCTTAAAATCCCCTGCTGCGGCCAATTTGGTCTGCCTCGCTACCAAAAACTGCCTCCAGCTCTGGGAGAAGTCTCGTGTCCAATGCGGCCCGTCGGGGCAGGTCTAGATGGAGGGTCTTGAATGACCTCCTTCCTTCTCTCGGCGGTTCTCCACAGACTCCCCCGGGGAGCCCCCCAGGCCCCGACCTCCGGCTCCAGGCCGCCCCTTCCACCCACCCGGGTTCCTGCGCCTTCTCTCCAGCCCCTGCCCGCGCGTCTGAAAGGGAGGGCTGCTAGCCGGCAGGTGTCTGCCCGGCCGCGGGCGCATCGCGTAGCCGGAGAAGGGTGGAGGGGCCGCCGGCCCGTCCGCACCTACCTCGTCCCCGAAGCGCACCACCTTCTGGCCCGTGGGCCCGCGCAAGCCGGGGAAGCGCCCGAGCTCCTCGGGGTCACCGGGCGCCGGGGCGCTCGGCCCCACCAGGCACCGGTCGATGATCTCGTCCTGCTGAGCCGGCGGCAGCCGCGCCCACTCGGGCCCGTACTTCTCCCGGATCTTCTCCTTGTCCTGCATGATCTTCCGAGCCATGGGGCTTAGCGACGAGAAGTAGGTGAAGCGCTTCCGCTCCCGGTCGTCCAGAGGCCGGTTCGCGCTCATGACGGCCGTGCGCGAGGCCGCAATCGCCGCCGCCATGGACGCCATGCCCTGCCAGCCCGCAGCTTTCCACCCCCGCCCCGGCCAGGGCCCTGGCCCAGACCCTAGCCCCTCGCTGGGAACGCCGCCCTTCGGGCAGCTCCCGGAGCTACCTTCTTACGCCTGGTTGCGTCCTCCAGATTGGCTCTCTCATGTTCCCGCGGTGCCCCCACTTTTCGGGGCTCCCCTTGGCCAGCGCAGGAGATGACTGGCGCGTCCCCAGGTCCGCGCCTGGCAGTCTGATGGGATTGCTGGTGGTGACCGCCATAGCGCCACGTGGTCACTAGTTTGACAAAGGAAACTTTTGTCCCGCCGATGTGCCTAAGTAATACCGGCATTTCTGGACCAAGCCACAGGCCACCTGATTCTTATTCCTTTCCCAACTGAGCCATCTTTTTCATCTTTCTCTGACTGTCCCCAAACCTGGACCAGGGTCTTGGCGCGGTGAGCTGATAGAAGGGTTGGGCTCGGGGCAGTGAGGACGCAAAAGATACGAGCTGGAGACACTGGACTAGTGTCTAGAGAGTTGAAAGAATATAAATTTCCGCGGCTCCCAAAGAGAGGAGCAAAGTGAAGTATCAGGTAGCCTTTCGCTAAAAAGGAGCTAGGAACTGCCTGGCGGGCATCTGCGGCCCGCGGGCTAGTAAACCTGAACTTCGTTTTGCTTTTGCAGGTGAAGACTTCTTCCCCAAACCTGTCGCATGGCCTTTGCTTTCTCCAAGATTCCTTTTGGAGTCTCGGAAATCACAAAAACTCTAGGCTGCTTGAGGTTTGCAAACAAACGGAAGGGCAGCAGGAAGTTTTCATAGGCAGAGAAGCGGCATCCCAATAGTGTGGGGGATCAGGTGTGCCGTTTTGAAGTGTGTCTCAGAGCACAGCCATTAAAATTATACAGAGTCCTCATCTGCTGTACTGTCTGGCTGGTTTGAACAAGATTGTAACAGAGTTCAGATGAGAATTAAATGTCCACTTTTAAAACAAAAAAAACCCTGCATTTCAGCTGTTACTTAGGGTCATTGCCTCTGAAGTAACACTTGGATAATTCTGAAACTTATATAGTGTTATAAATATCAATGCTACCTCAAATAATAATAATAATAAAACTCTTGGATAATTCTGAACACAGTTGTAGCAATAACTTGCAAAGTTCTGTTTTAAATGTGTGATAGCTTTATCTTCTGGCTCGAAATTCCTTAGAAAATAATTTTAGAATGTCATGAATGTGATAAGCTCTACAATAAAAGATATTGCTATCAAGTGTTATTAGCATACCATATTGAAAAACAGGGGGAAAAAATCACCAAGTAATAGCTGGGATTGCCCAGTATTCGAAGGACTACTTATCAAGCCAGGAGGTTGAGTTTTTTGGTACTAGTCTATTTCTATAGGTCCAATCTGAATCCTTCTTTCTCACCTCAAACACTTGTTTAATAAGGTGGGTGATGTTTAAAGATGTATTCTTGAAATTAACATCTTCGAAGTTGCTTTGAAATTCACATAGAAAGAGTTCAGTGCTGTTAGAAACTTGGTCCCACCTGGTTTTCACAGCAATTGCAAAAACAAATGGTCTTTGCAAAAAAGCATAACCCAATTAAGTGTTTAGATCAAATATAATTTATTACCAGAGAAGTCATAATATAAGTGCAATATGAAACAAATCAGGGATATCAGCCAAGCTATGTAAAATCCATGATCTGGGTAATAAGAGGTAGCTAAAAGAAAATTTCTTCCATATTATAATAAGAAACTCAAAGGAATTAAATAATTTTGCTGCAATTCGGAGATAAACGGATGTATAGATAGATAAGTAGATTCAGAGATGTAAAGATAGCTGAACTTCAAATATGTAATAAGGTAAAATAGTGGGATGATTCTAGCGCTAATCATCTTTCTTAGGCAAGAATTTGGATAGAGGCAGCCTGCCTTGTTCTTTGTGGATTTGACTTAGCCAGTGGGCTCTTTACAAAATGAAGAGACGATCATGTGGTCACTGACCCTCTGAAATGCTTTAAAACCTTGCACTGTTCCAAACAGCATTTCTTTATTCATCAGCATCTTATTGAGGTATTTGCTGTTTGTTCCCAGAATACTTTTCTTAGAGACTGTATAGAGACACATACCAAAAACTGCTTTACCTAAGAATTAAACTGTTTCAATGTCTTGAACTGTGGAGTTCTTTCTTGGTGCATGCCATTTCAACTGATTTCTCAGAAGGGTTCTTGAGTCCCTGCTAGAATGTAAATTCTACAATAGGGAGATCCTTATCTGTCTTGTTTACTCTTGGGAACAATAATGCCTCCTGATTGAGAGTAAGGCTTCAAGTGACTATTTGATGAGTGAATTATGAATGAAGAAATGAATCAATGTTACATATTTTACATTATTGTCCCCTCTTTACAGATAAAGATACAGGGGTATCAAAGGAAAAAAACTTACCTGAGATTATCCCCCATCACCCCCCATGGGATGGAATAGAGACACAGAACAGTGGTCTCTTTGCCTTTTTTAAAATCTGTTAACATTAGAGTAATGTATCTAAGGTTAATCACTGGGTTATTGATAATAAATTGGGTTTATGGCTATAATTTATTAAAATCTAAATTACTTGTTAGTAAAACACAACATTAATTTTTTCAGTGTAATAATTGAATACCCAAGATGATCACCAATATTTCCATTATACAGCTGGCATCTTGGCTAACAGTTGCTGTCCTGGGGCTCCTCTCCCCAGGTCAATGCCTTCCTTTAAAAACTATTAAAGAGACACAAACAGCAAGGCTATCCCCCAAGGTTCAAGGTTGCCCTGGGGGCACTTCTGGGACACCTGGGGGCTGCCAAGACCCAGTGGCTTTGGGGAAAAGTCCAGAGGCACTGAAGTCAGGTGCGCCTGAAGTGGGACGCTGTGGTCAGACACCTGGCCACCACAGAAGTGCTCAAAACCTGTTGAAGCCTAAATTCCTTCACTTTTGCTAGGGGGAAAGCTATACCAGCCTTCAGGGGTAACATGTCAAGAGAGGGAGGGTGACTCGTGTGAAAGGCGCTCTCTCCACCGTGCCAGTGAAGCCAGCCTTTTGATATTGCATCCACCTGGCCTGTACCTGTTATGGTTCTGGACAGGTTAGGCCCCTTTATGTTTGGTGTTTCAGGAATGAGGACTTTGTAGCTGAAGACAAGGGCTGGGCTCCTTCCTCTTCTTTCTCTCAACCACCACAAAGTGCCTTCTTCACAGCTGACTCTCAAGTATGCTGTTAGTTCAGATGTCTGTTGAATGAATTTGTTGTTCCAAATAAATAATCTGTGAGCCCACTCCCTCCTTGGAGACCCTGCCAGGTCATAGAAAACCATAGGGCAACCATTCTAGCCCTGCTAAGAGTCAAGTAACCAGCTCTCACAAGCCAGTTGTTGAAGCTCATGGTGAAATTCCAGGCACTGTGGCAAACAGCTGACAATTTGGGGAAGGGACTCGATTGGCAACATAGCAGGCAGTCAGCTGGTAGATCCAGCCAGCCCTCCTGACTGACGCTCTCAGCTTGGAGGCAGACAGGCTCCCTGAGGATGATGATTCATTCCTGCATCTGTTACTGGTTATTCCAGATGCTACCCTGAAAGAGGACAGTTCTCTGCTCTTCACTCCCACACCCAGAAAGAACAGGCGATGGAAGACAGTCTTCATGGTGTATTTAGATGACCGACTCCCTGTATGATTGGAGGGCAGTGTTCATGATCAAGACGAAAAAAGGATGAGGCAAGAAAGAGACGACAAGGAGGTGGTTTCACAGATCTACTTTTTGGCAGGAAATGTGCTTTGACTATTTTGAGGGGGTGGGTTATTTTTCTAGTTGGAGGGAGGTTTTCATGGAAACTACCACAGTCTGTCACTAAGTCCAGGCAGGTGTGAGGCGCTCCCTGTGCCTGTAAGAACAGAATCACCTTCTCTGGGTAAAGCCACAGGACTCACATGGGGCTCAAACCTGGGCCCTTGCCTGTCAGCTCCATACTTCACATAGCAAAGACAATCAGCTCTGTGAAAAGTGCTAAAAAGCCCTCTTGAAAACAAGAAGAAGAATCTGTGTGAATTTTTACATTAAGAAAAGCCTCTGAGATTTTTAGTCCTTTGTAAGAATATAGGTCTAGAAGCAGTTGTTCACTTTTCCCCCCTTCATCTGAAATTCCCACCCCATTATCTCCAACTATAGAAATTCGATCCTTAAAACCTAGTCCAGGGACTTCCCTGGTAGTCAGGTGGCTAAGAATCCGCCTCCCCAGTGCAAGGGACATGGGTTCGATCGCTGATCTGGGAAGACCCCACATGCTGCGGGGCAGCTAAACCCATGCACCACGACTGCTGGCCCAGGCTTTGCAGCCCACGTGCCCCAGCCCCTGAAGCCCAGAAGCCTAGAGCCCATGCTCCGCAACAAGAGAAGCCATCACATTGAGAAGCCCACACGCCAGAACTAGGGAGTAGCCCAATTGCCGCAACTAGAGAAACCCTGTGTGAAGCAAGGAAGACCCAGTGCAGCCAAAAATAAACAAATAAATAGGATTAAAAAAAAAAGACCTTGCCCAAATGAAATCTTCATGATCACACCAAAAAGAAGGCAGGTGGGCACAAAAGAGACAGTGTCTCCTTTGTAATTTGATCTCAGATAGACATTGGTGTCCTGGGAAGAACAATGCCAGCGTTTTTGGCATTACCGTGTGTGTTATGGGTTATAGTTCAAATCCATATGTGGAAACCCTAATCCCCAGTGGAATGGTATTTAGGGGTGGGGCCTTTGGGGGCTGATTAGGTCCCCAGGGTGGAGTCTTTGTGATAGAATAGTGCCCTGATAAGAAGATACAAGAGAGCTTGCCTGTCCCATTGCCCCCCACCCTGTGAGCACACCGTGAGAAGGTGGCCATCTGCAAACCAGGAGGTACGTAGACACTGGATCTGCTGGCACCTAGATCTTGCATTTCTCAGCTTCCAGAATTATGAGAAATACTTGTTTGTTGTTCAAGCTGCCCAGTCCATGGTATCATTGTTATAGGAGCCTGAACTCAGATAATGTGAAAATGGCTTC